TTTTTTCATTTTCTGCTACTAATTCTACATTTCAGAGGTAAATATTGCACTTTTCCCCCACTACACTTATTTGATACATTTAGTTTCTAGTTACTTTGCAGATTGAGTTTAATAATGCAAAATATAATCAACAAATACATTATTATTTAGGCCTAGTATTATAGGTTAAAATAAAACTTTATTGATCCCAGAGGTACCATTTGCCAGCCCCATTAAAGTATGTAAAAAACATTAATGCATCAATGAATATTTAATACTTAGGTTGTACATATACATTAATCTGCATACTGCATGATGAATACTTTGGTACTTTAATTAGATTTTGATGCTAATATTTATTATCCTGTCCCCTTATTGTACTTTTACTTAAGTAAAAATAAATGTATTTACTTTTAACATAGTATTTATGTGGTATTCAAAAACTCTTTTTGAATCAAAAACTCTTTCGTCCCCCTGGCCATCAGACTTTACAACAGCTCTTAGTCAAGGCAGAGAGAACAATAGACAAAAGACAATGGACAATTTCTACCTCCATTTGCACTGTTTTAATGTATCGTAATCGTATGCTATCTACTCAGTTGTTTTATTTAAGATCTGAGTACTTCTTCCACCACTGTAGGTTTGTTAGTCAAAACACAAAACAAAATGCAAGTCTTTATCTTTTTAACAGTTTCTGTATTTATAGAAAAACAAATCAACCAATAAAACACTGCTTTTACAAGCTGTTTCATACCCAGTTACATACATAATTTGATCACACAGTCATTTGTCACTTTTACAGCCTGTAAAGAGATTTTCTACAACAAGACCTTTAGAATACTTTAAATGAATGAGACCTTTTTTGCCCTTTAGGAATTCACTTTGCACAATGAGCCTCTTAAATGTCCAAATAACATCAACACCCAAATATGACAGCATAGCAAGACATAAAAAACACAATATAATAACATGGCAGCACGAAATACATAAAAACAAATATCATAAAGACATCATCATAAAAGTATAAATTTAGGAAGTTGATAAAATATAAAATATAAAATTGTAATTATGTCTGATATATAAAGGCAGTTTTATTTTTGTATACTTTTTGCAAGGAAATGATGTGGACTGGTTTGTTGGTAAATGTCAAATAATGTAGTAAATTGCACCATATTTCACAATGTACTGACTGACAGATATAATATTTACTGTATATATATGTGTGTGTGTGTGGTGTGTGTGTGTGTGTGTGTACTAAACAGGACAGAGGAAAAGAGAAACACAGTTGGTCCCTCTAGTGGTAGAAAGTGTAGCTCTGCAATCCCTCAATAGAGCAAATGGTTCCCAACCTATTTCTGTCACACCTCTCTGTAGAAGCTGGAATAAATCTCTCTCTAACTCTCTGTCTTTTTATTATTCCTGAATAAATCCGATTCACGCACGGCAGACATTTTGACTTTTCATAGCAGGAAAAGCACAAGTGGAACTAACATTGATGACGGCTTTGTTCCACCAATTATTGCAACATGTTGCGGCAATTAACAAAGTTATTAGTCACACCTGTGTTTGACAAGTTAAAATGATTGCTGTGAAAAAGGTCTTTTCAACTTAAATTGCACTGAACATGTTTCCCACTGATCATGCGTGGCCTCTTTGCAATGGCTTTGTGTGGCTCCGCGGGGGAATGGGCGGATTAACAAGTTACAGGATCCTGGAGCTGCTGGACCACTAAGACCCCCATGCAACATGCCACAAAGGCTGGGGACATTGCAATTATATGGTATATGAGTCTAAACAAATAAACCTGCATTTCTTTCAGCACCTGAGCCTTTTCTACTGTGACAAGTAAAAATGTCTGCTGTGAAAAAGGCCTGTATTAATGTGAAATATGGACCAGGACTGGTCATAAGGCTCTGGGTGTCCTCTGTTACTGCATGAAGAAACAGCCTCTGTTGGTCTGTCTGGACATGGAAGCATCAGTAGTACACATGATCAAAGCCCAGAGGCCACCCAGCAAATCTATGTGTGAAGTGATGTTTCTGTCCACTATAAAGAAATGATTTCTCATTTTATGTTGATTATTACATGTGAGTTAAAGGCATAAACATGAGCCAAAATGCTGCTATAGCTACATGCTCGTGTATATGTTGGTTTCCTCAACAGTTTTAGTGTCATTTACAGTTTACGTAAGCCATGTGAATGCACTGAATGACTTCTATGCTTGCTGTGTTCGTGAACTTGTTTGCCTGTCTGGCCTGATCTTGTACTGGCATTTCACCGACCAGATGGCTTTATCGATCTGGCTTTTGGCCAATAATAAAACACTCATTTTCTGTGAGTTAGTGTACAACTAAAAGCTTGTCAGTGTGTGTGTGACTGCAGGTGGGGGATGGGCTCTGGGTTTGTCTGTGTTTTATATGAGTTTTAAGTCAGCTGAGTTTCAACTGTGGCCTTGATGTTTCATTCTCTGCCCTTCCAACACTGTTCACACTACATTTAGGTACTTCCACAAGCTAAACATGAGAATATTCTCTGTTTTGTTAATATTATATTTTTTAACTTATATATTTTTTAAAGGAATGTTATTAGGCTATTTTATCAATTTCATTTTAGCTTGCTACTAAAAAACACTGTAATCTAATGCAGCCATTCCATGCAACACATTTAATAAATCCTGGAATATTACTGAAAAGCAAGCATTTCCTAAAATTCCCAGATTCCCAACAACTGCTCCTGTCTAAAATCCAGCTTTCTAAATTCTATGTTAATTCCCCAAATTCCCTGAAACCCAGGAACAATGTCATTAGAATACTACACAGTGGGGGCTAATGATGAAAGAAGCAAATGGTTAACTATTCGTGGTATGTTAAGTCAGGTGCTCTGTGGGAAGGATTTATTTCCCTCTGAACTTTGCTGTTAGCACATGAGAGGTCACATGTAGTGCAGCCTGAACGGTCTCACAGCCTTGAGACAACATCACTGGAAAACCATTGTGGTAGCAGAGCACATAGTCGTTACAGGAATAAAACAAAACCTGTTATAAACTCTTCTTTTATAACTTTATTTTGCCCTTTAAGAAGAAATATGGTATTTTTTTCTTCTCAATCATTCTTATAATCCACATTTTAAACATTAGGATGTGACTTTATGGATATTAGAGTGAACTTTCTGACCAACAATGTAGCAACTTATTTTAATATTCGGCTACTTTTAATGCTGTAAAATGTCCAGGATTACAACGTGACTCTCCTTTATTACTAGTGATGTTTAGGACTCATCATTACATTTTATATAATAAGTTCTCTGTCATATGTTCCATCTTATATCTCATCTTTGCTAGTTTGGTCCTCCTGAACACATCAAACCAGGTGTAATTACCAGCTTTTGGAAGATCTTTTAGTTTTTATGTGCTTCAACTACCTTGAACTCTTTACAAAGCACCTGAATAATGAATACTTTGGTTCACCTTGCTGAATTTAAATACACGACCCAAACCCTTCAGCTTCTGTTTTAATTAAATTGTTTGTATCTTGTATTTTTTTATGTTTTTTTGTTTTTGTTCTTTTGTTCTTTTTTTGGTTTTCTTTCATCTTTCATCTTTGGTTATTTTGTGTATTCATCATCATTGTTAATAAGGGCCATCCCTCAATGATTGAATAAAGGTAATGATATATATATATATGTAATAATATTAATTATATAATATGAGTAACTGAGGGGGTTCACCTACTGTTTTTAACATTACAAATTTAAATGTTGCTTTTCTATTGTCCAGCTTTATAGATCAGCATGAACCCTGGGCAATCAGAATAACATAAATTATTAACTGTAATTTATCAATGATGTCATGTTGCAGGATTTATTTATGAACAATGTGGGATGCTTTATTAGATTAGATGTGACTCAAACGTATAACTCAGTAAGCAAACCAGAGTTGGGGGAATGGACATAATATTACATATTCTATAATGTGAGTTTTTTAATGACAGAATCAATCAGCTCCTTCCTTTAAATGCATTCCTGTTCACATCTGAATTAAACTTTGGTTTATGAAGGAGGATATGTCTCCTAAACTAAGCATGGGTGTGTCTGCATTTCTGCGAGCACAGATTCTTCGAGCTGCAGCAGCCTGAGGAGGACAGCAGGATACAGGGGAATAGCTGAGGAAATAAAAGGATGCTATTGATGTGCCATCCACACACTCATCTTGTGACGCCCATGCAATCATAGCTCTAAGGTCAGACGTCAAAAGCAGGCATGACTCGAGCTTTGATTACAGTTCTCATCGCTCTCTTTGTCCTAAAGCAGACATCACATACAACATTTTCAATTACACAGTACAGAAAGTATTGATTTTCCAATAATGCACCTAGAAAATATTTTTTCTTTCTGAGAAATGTCTCATTTGTTTTTTAGTTTTTTAAAGTATTATTTTTTTACCCTTTTATGCCTTTATTTGATAGAGATAGCTGTAGAGAGACAGGAAAGGGGGGCAGAGAGAGAGGGGACGACATGCAGCAAAGGGCCGCAGGTCAGACTCGAACCCGTGCCGCTGCATATATGGGTTGCCAGCTCTACCAACTGAGCTAACCGGGCACCAGAAATGTCTCATTTGTGTTCATTTGAATTATTTACTATTTACACTAAATCTATCTTTTGGAAAGTTTTTTCTGCATTAAATGATTGTTCCCTGAACGCTTTATTAAAGGTATTAATAGTATTAGAATCAGAAAAAGGCGATTTACACAAAGTTCATAAGTAAAAACACAGCACACATGAAGTAAAATCATTGTTATCACACTTGAGAATATAAAATCTAATAAAGAGATAATAACAATGTTAAAACCTACAAGTAAATGCAACAGTTCCTGTAACAACAGTTAACAAAACAATACTCATATGTGTTCTTACAGTTTCAGAGGGGGTGGTGCCAGTTTGCCCAATGATGTCAGAGGTGAGAAGAAACTTTATGGTAATTCAGGACCAAGGCCTTCTTAAAGAGGGTGAGGAGACATTTCTGAAGTCTCTCTGGGAGTTGTGTTGGGGTTCAGGACTTGTAGGTGAGGATCAGGGCTCAAAGACAGGAAACACATAACCAAATACAGGATGACAACTCTAACACTGGTGCTGCTGGTACTGGCTTTTACATCTGCCACTGCGATAAGTGAGTACATCTGAAATTACAGACAAAAAGATTTAGTCAGGCATTTGTTTGTATATTGTTTTTTTCTTTAGGAAAAAATTATATGAGTGACAATGACAGGTAAATCTTGTATATATATATATAGTTTTATTAGTAGTTATCACAGTTCTGCAATCAAAGCAGTAAAACAACTATTCAGTGTAAATCTTTTCCAACAGAAAACAACTATTTATCTTATTTGACACAAAAGTTAAAAAGAAATAGATAAAGTAGAAATACCTTTTTGGCACAATCCTTATAACATTAAGAAAAGCAACTGTTGAATTATAATTCAGAATATTCAAACTCTTCTTTTACTTTCATACTTGGAAATGTGAAAATAATTTGTCATGTTAATGTGAAGGTATTTTATACAACAACATACATACATACTGACTAAGAGAAAACCCTGTGAGTCAGACGTCTGGGATCCCTCATTCCTCCCACTGGGATTACTGATGTTGCTGCTCAGCTGATAGTCACATGAAAGGGATTGAGGGGGATTGCAGGTCGTGTGACTCCCACCGCCAAGAACCCCGACACTCCTCACCCCTCCTCGACACCAAATCATAAACCTGCTCTCGTTTACATAAGCTTCTCTATCGTTATGTGCAAAACCTGCTTGATTATCAGGAACAAGTTGTGCCTCTTTTAAAAAGCCTTCACAGCTTTAACTCTGCTGAAATATGAAGTTAATGGTATAAAAACCTTAAATCTGGTATTATATTTTATATATACTGACAAAGAAAACTGAAAAATATGTTTTTACAGATACATTTTACACTACATTTTGCGTTTGTTGCTTCCCTGGAAACTCTTATTGGTTGTATTGGTTGAGAATGAAACTTGAAATGAGTTGCATGATGTGGCTTCTTTTCCTGAACAGTTTCTAATATTTCTTCCAGAGCCTAGAAGTCAGTTCACACGTTATCGCTCATGGAACTCACGGATGTATCCGGTGTGGAAAGATGGAGATTCGAGATTCAGGAACTGTTGGTCTGGTGAGGCTCATTTCTCTATTCCTAAAACCAGAAATGTTCTCTGCCAGTCAATCTGAAGATGTTAAATCGTGTGTAATCTTCTCTCCAGGTGGTAATGTAACTTTTGATCTGAAAAATGATGCACCCACCCTGACTGGAGCAAGAGCAACCTTCTCTATTAATTTGAATTTCCCACCAAACCAGACAGTGCTCTCTGATGGGCAGGTGGTCTGGGCACAAAACTGCACCATCAACGGTAAGATACACTGAGGAGGGAAATTACTATGCAACCTATTGTGATTTTTTAAATATTTCCATTCATGTTCAAAACCACAAACAATAACCAGGAGCTATGAACAGATAGGAGACTATTTCAATAGGAAATAACAATTTACAGACACTAACCATCAGTTAACTTGGTAAAAATAGGATTTTTAAATTAAATAACTCATAGATTATTATGAAAAAGGAAATGTCTGACAATTTATTATAATCAGTGAACCAATGCGATTTTAAAATTGTGCTAGTTTTATTGTGGTAAGACAAAAGACCGTATTCTTATTTTTTTCCCCCATGTTGCCTAATATTGATATTCAGAGTTACATTGTAATAATCACATGTCTATTATTGTTATTGATCTATGATCTATGGCCGTCATCTTTTCCAGGACAACAGTATCAGGCGGGGCAGCCTGTGTATCCTGACCAGGACAATGAGCAGACCGGAGTTTTCCCTGATGGCACAGCATTTACCAGGACAAGCCAGGACAAGAAACCTCACTATGTGTTTGTGTGGAAGACATGGGGTAAATATATTTCATTTTATATTAATCAGTATGTTAGAACCCTAATCTGCTCCTTAGCTGTAATTAGTGCTGCAGGAGTAATGCTGTGCTTCAGTTGAGGTAATTCTTTGTGAGTACAAAAAAAAGGTTCCTCAGGGAATAGGAAAACAACACCAACTGCAGCTGTGACTACATTACATTAACATGTAAAAAGACAAAGAACAGACCATAAAGGGAACAGAGAGGAAGTTTCTCCTCTAGCCAGAGAAGTTAAAATTTTAAATTAGCCTCAGGCCATATCACAAACAAATCACTTGTCTGTGATCTTCTATCTCTTATTTTATATCTGTCACAGAAAAAATGAACTCACTTTTTACATCTGAAGACACAGACACAGACACAGTTAACAGAAAATACAGGTTAGATTTAAATTGTGAATGAACAAATCTCAAGAAAATCTTAAACTTATTCTTTGAATAATTAGAATTATGTGGATTAAATTAGTGGCGCTCCATAAGAAGTTTTATTAGCACAAAAGCCTCAGTTTAAATGTTTTATTTTGGATTATCAAGCATACTTCTTGTGGTGAAAGTCATGAAGAGGAACAAGAAGTCTGTTCCTCAGCACAATTCAGAAAATCCACAGTTTTCTCTCATGTACTGTGAGATGAAAGTGACACCTGGAGTGTCTCCAAAATGTGTGAATTCAATTAAATTTGCTATGATTACCAGACCACTCTAAATAATCAGAATGTTTCTCTATTGTAGGTCGTTACTGGCAGGTGGCAGATGGTCCGTCCTCCTCCCTCTCTATCGGTACAGACAATGTCCCCCTGGGCTCCTACAACATGGAGGTCGTCATCTATCACTGCCGTGGCAAAGACAAGTTCATCCCCCTCGGCTACGCCTCCACAATCTTCACCATCACAGGTGACCCATCAAACAATTTCTAACCTAACTTGTGGAAAATTACTCTTCAATATTTGTATTTCTGTAACAGCCCTCATCATAACAGCTCTCCATCTTTTTCTTCGCCATCAGACCAGGTTCCGTTCACCATATCACTCGCCCAAGTCAATGATGTAAACCAGGACGACCAGAACTTCATCCAGAACCGAGCTATTGCTTTCAGCGTCAAGCTCCACGATCCCAGCCAGTATCTCAATAATGCCGACATCAGCTTCAGCTGGGACTTTGGTGACACCACTGGCACTCTGATCTCCAGAGACCTCACTGTCACACACACATACCTTAACGTCGGGAACTTCAAACCTCAGGTGGTCCTCATGGCAAGCATCCCCAATGGCTGCGGAAACCCCACTGCTGGTGAGATTTCAAAATGATTATTCTTTTTTTTTAATCTTTTATGCATATATACTGAACTCTTGCTCAGTTGTTTTAAACTTTTCTTACAGTTGTTCCGATTGATGCCTCTGATGCTCCAGCAGTAGTTGTGATGGCCTCCACCCCTGCAGTTGTCTCAGCAGCACCAGCCGAGGGAGGAGATGCAATTGCTCTGGATGTTCCAGCTTCCGACGCCACACCTCTTGATGCTTCTGTGCAGCCAGCAGAAGCAGCCACAAACACAGAAGATGGAGAAGCAGCTGCTGTTGATACAGACACAGAGGCAGTAGAGGTTGCCTCAGTAGCACCTGCAGGAGTGGATGCAGCTGTTGTCCCAGTGGAACAAGATCCCGCCAACACTGTTGCCCCGGCTGCAGAAGGAGATGTTGCTGCAGACGACACCAATGCAGCAGCAGCAGCAGCAGGTGAGGTGGCTGCCTCTGTTGCACCTGCAGCTGAAGAACCAGCAGATGTTGATACAGCTGCTGCAGATGAAACCGCAGTGGTTATAGATGCAGCTGCAGAAAATGTGGCTGTGGTTGACGCTGCTGCCTCAGTTGCCCCTGTTGCAGAGGGAGAAGAAGCTGCAGCTGAGGTCGTCACTGTTGCTCCTGTAGCAGAAGTAGCTGCAGAGGAGGAAGCTGACGTTGTGGCTGTTGATACTGCTGCTGCTGATGCTGAGGCTACTGTTGCTGCTGATGCTGTTGCTGAGGCTACTGTTGCTGCTGCTGTTGTTGATGCTGTTGCTGAGGCTGCTGCCGAGGTTACTGTTGCTGCTGATGCTGTTGCTGAGGCTACTGCTGCTGCTGTTGTCGATGCTGCTGCAGAGGTTGTCCAAGTTGTAACAGAAGCCCCTGCTGATAACGTTGTAGTCCCTGCTGCTACTGAGACCACAGCTGTAGAAGAGGCGGCACTAGTTGAAGATACAGAGGCTGAAGTACAGGCAACTGAGAATGAAATTGCAGCTACTGCAGCTCCTGCAGGTTAGTATTATATATACCTAAAAAAAATATACATCAAACAAAAAGATGGTCGACAAAAGTATTAAGTCAAAATGTGTCTTATTTTTCTAGAACAACCAGCCGGTGATGAAGCTGAAGTTCAAGCAGAGGTGGAAACAGATCCAGCACAGGTTCCCATCATTGTGGCTAAAAGACAAGCACCAGAGCTGACAGCTGACTGCATGGTCTACCGTTATGGCTCCCTTGCCACCTCTGTAGATGTTGTCCGTAAGTCAATATAGCTTTTGTAATTACAGATCATTTTATGCTTCAATAGAAACAGTATTATTTATTAATAGTGCTGAAATCTCTCTGTCTTCCTCTTTCAACCCTGCAGAGGGTATTGAAAGTGTAGAGATTGTACAGGTGTCCAACGTTGTAGCAACGGCAACTGATTTGGATCAGAATGCTGTGGATGTGACCATTTCCTGTCAGGGAAGGTGAGTGGTAACATTCATCAAATACACAAGCTAGTTGAAAAGTAGTACAGGTTTTGTCACTGTTGTTAATTTAGCTCAGTCTAGAATCACACAACTCAAACAAATTGAAATGGCCAGTTTAATGTAAGGAACACCTGCATGGTAACAACCTCTAAAATGTCCAACTCAACACGCAGACAGGGTCAAGACTAACTTACTGTTCAGCTTAACCTTATACGTGTATTGATTTTGACTTGTCTTGATGTTCTTTATAACTAATGCAACATTTAACTTCTAATTAGCCTACTGTGATATGTTATGTGTTATTATGTATTATGATTAGCACAAAAAACACATGAAAATAACATATCCACTTATGACTGTTCTCCTTGTAACTGTGTCTTTGCATCTTTACTATCCTTCCTTCAGTCTGCCAAGTGAGGTGTGCACAGTCATTTCGGATGCGGACTGTATCACACCGGTGCAAACAATCTGTAACGCTGCCACACCTTCTCCAGACTGTCAAATGATCCTCCGCCAATTTTTTAATGACTCTGGAGTATTTTGCATCAACGTCTCCTTGACCAATGATGTCAGTCTTGCTGTGGCAAGTGCAAGAGTCAGTGTATCAGTAGGTGGGTGGAAGACAAATCAATTAATAGACACTAAATCTTAATCTATAAAAAACTTAATCTATAGACCATTCTCATTTGTATAATCTGCTTCAATTTCAGCCTCAAGTGGTTCCCCAGCTGGAACTGCAGCCACAGTCCTGGGTGTTATGGTTCTTGCCTGTGTTGTCTGTTGTATTGGTTTGATGTACAGGTCAGTACCAAATTTATAAACATAATTTAATTTGGGGACAAAATTACAATTAACAATTCAAAAAATAAAATGGTGTAGTGATGTACAAAACCTATAAATAAAATATAAGTTGCAATCAAAAGTACTGTAATTATGGTAAAATTGTAAAACATGATTGTGGTCCTAAAGACCTTTTGAATACAGGATCTTTTCACTTGTCATAGGTGATAACATTAATGATTGCTCAGTTAATTTTAGGTGTGTCAGAAGCCGTGTTAGTAAGCCAGCATGCACAATATCAAAACATATCTGGAAGTGACGAGCAAAACTGAATCATCAGCAGCATATAAATTACATATACAGTATTAGAAAGCATAAGGGTCCAGGGATTGATCCCTGTGGAGTGCCCCAATCTCCTGTCGTCAGCATGATAACATACTCACAATGACAATGTTAACAAACTGATGTTTAGCAGTTAATATTAACCATGTTTAACATCTTAGTTTAGCATGTTACATGCTAACATTTTCTAATAAGTACTGAACAAAAAGTACAAGGTAGGATTACTTTTGCAGGTATTTTGTCATAAACCAAGTACATGGAAATTTAAATTTAGACCTAATGATGACACTGGATGAAAGGTTGAAGGATAACAGAAATGATATGAAATAATTCTGAGAGGAACATGAATGTCTGTACCACATTTCACAGTAATTCATTTCACTCAAAACCTGAGCACAACCAGTCTGTTCAACAATTCATAGAAATATTTTTTTTTTTAGATATTTCAGTCTTGCCCAAAGTGGTGGCCATCCGTAGAGCTCATCCCAGTTTTCATTCCTTGTTTACTTTTTATGATTTTGTTTCTAAGTCACATACATTCTGGCCTTTAACTTGGTAATTTTGTCAGTCATTAAGCATCCTCACCTGTCTCACCTGTTTTATGTTTCTAAACAGACGGTTCAAGCAGTACCAGCCTCTAAGAGAAGACAGTGCTGACAGTAATGGAGGCAGCTCAGGGGTCACATCGATGCCTTTGTTGTTGTGGAACTTGTTGAGCCGACAGTCACCTGGAGAAAGTCGTCCATTGCTTCAGGGGAGGATTGTGTGAATATCATCATCGGCTGCAACATCTGCTAAAATATCGGCTTTATACACACACACATTACTTTAACTGTAGCAATATTGTAACTCTCAGTCAATGTATTGAACCAGAGCCATTAAGTGTACCAAGTTAAGTGAACCAGCTTGTACAACAAAATGTGTAGAATTAAAAGTGTGTAATAAAGAAGTGAAATAACAATGTTGACATATTTGTAGAGGACAGTGATATTTATTGTGACCTACTACCTACTATTTTTTATTAATTGGCACTGATAGTTTATAGAAGCCATAACTGATTCTCTCATTTGTGGCCTACTTATAGTAAACCAATTGGAAAATCAACGCATTTCAGTTCAATTTCTTTACAATGTAATTAAAATCACTTACATCACAGAATATTATTGTGTTTGCTACCCTGAAATGAATAAAATGAAACTTTATCACCATCACGTTTGTAAATTATTATTATTATTATTTTTGTGGCCCTTTGCTGGGTGCCATCCTCTTTCTTTCCTCCCTTTCCTGTCACTATCAATTAAAGGCAATAAAACCCCCCTAAAACGGCACACTTCCTGCACAGATATAAATAGCCAGTTATTTCCCACAGGAGTTGGTGGAGACCACAACTGAGCTATAAAGGACATTGAATATTGGACTTATATTCTTCAGATGGCCAGAAATACAACGTTAATGTTTGTTAATGTTGCTCTCTTACCACTAAACACTCACCAGGGCTAAACTACTACGACTTAATGTTTTACTGTTGTGATAACTGCTTAATTTTGTCCATCAAAGAATAAATATAAGAATAAAATGGATTTTAACATAACATACTTACATTAAGATTAGATTAAGAGAGCGAATATTTAGACAAAACACCATCCCATGACACTAAAAACTGTTGTCCTATACATAAAGTAGAATGATCAGTAACCCAAAACTTCATAAAACACAAACATGCATATCAGAAACATTTCACGTGGTCTCAGCAGACATTTAAGTGGAGTAGAGACGCAGTCAGAAAGTGGTGCGGATATAGGAGCACCGCAGCTGAGTGTGCTAAAAAAATATTACCATCCTGCTCTGCTCTCTGCGCAATTAAAGTGATTTATCAAGATGTTGCGGGCTACCTTAATACATTGAGCTGACAAAGAGTGGCTGATAGTAACATGTACATCATATGACATACTGCAGTGCAGGAAAAAAGGCTGACGTCACTGCAGTAAAACCTTTAATGGAAGAAGCTATGGCCTGGCTTACACAGCGGAAACAAAGATGTGGGCTGATCAATGGAAGTAAAGGAAAACATGGTTTCTGATTACATGGTTCGCATTAATGAATCAGAGTGAATTTCAAAGTGAAAGTTGAAGGCTGTTACATTATGTCTTAATGTCTGTTTTTACAGATTTTTAAATTGTCTGTTGTATTGTTGCACTTGTACCTAATACCTACTCTGCACCTTTCTCAACAAGACTTATATTATATATATATATATAAGATATTTATGCCAAATTGTATTGGTTTGGTTTCAGTATGCACTGCTCCGTAATTTCTCTGTCTCCCTCTTTACTTACATATGAATATCCTTCTGACAGACTGTAACACTGCAGTGCTCCATTACAGTAATTACCTAACACAGTCGTTAATCTTTCTTGACCATTAACGTGTCTCTTTGTCGCATGTACCAAGTGTTGTTTGTTCACTGCAGCTCCACTGGAAGGCCGTCATTTTTCACAGATGATCTCTATCTTAGACCTGACAGCCTTCCCGGATCTTTACCAGGCCTGCAGCTTTTAATAGGTCACAACATCCTCTCCACTTGTCCCAGTCAAAGTAAAGCAGCATTACTGGCTGAACTGTCACCAAGCTGCAGGAATTGGCTTCTCTTTCCCAGATAAGCAGGCTGACTTTTACAATTCTCCAGTCCTCTCTGGACAGGGAACCTGGAGATGAGTCAGCGCCGTGACACCACCCAAGTAGCTACATAGCTCTGATTAATTCGACTCTTTTTTTGCTCACCACTCCCTAGCAACTGATCTTAAAAAGGAGGCAGTTTCCTTCATCCGTCCTCTGCGTTGCAGAAACCTACCATGGTCAAGGATGTAGCGATAAATCTCACTGCAGCCCACAATCAGCATCAGCAACATTACTCAACTCTGTAAATTAAAGCCACTCTGTGTAGAATTTAAACAGTTACATATTTGGTGGATCCCCAATAGCAGTTATAGTAGTTAAACTACTAAATATTTAGAAGATAGTTGAATTGAATTCTTGAATCAATACTTGTTGTTTCTATATTTGCAATAATCTTCCTGTAGCCCTCCATAGTTAACATGTGCAGATATTGTAGATGAGAAAAAGAAAGGAAAGACATTGTCACATATAATTCAGGGTGTTCTGCAGATTGATGTTCTTGTCTAGCAAAAGGGGCTTTAAATGTTAAAGGATGTGAATGACATAAAATGACAACTGTAAATGTAGTTAAGCTCTTTTTTTATGCAGCATTGCTCTGTGCTGTTCTCACTGCTCATAAGAGCAGTTGTCTAAACGCCTGTTTAGATCTGAAACATGACACACATACTGTGAGTTCAATATGTGGAAATGTGAGCAGACATTCTAGCCTCATACTGTCTAACAAGCATTATTGAATTCATGGTTCCTTTGGGAATTCTCAGAGGACCAGAAGGATCAATCGCTAATGGTAACATCTGGTTGATAGTTAGTATTACTGACACAGTCCAGTTTAAAATAATTGAACTGTGTGTTTTTTAACATGTGCAAGTGTGTGTGCGTGTGTGCACACGTATCTAACATACATGCTGTTAATTAAAGATTAAAAATGCAGATAATCTTTACATGATAAGAAACCTTGACACATGGGCAGATTGGAGGATCGGGTGAAAGAATAGAAAGTGAGATGTGAGCTGAGCAGAGAGAGTGAGACAGAAAGTGAGACAGAGGTGAGGGGGAGGGAGAGGAGAGAGTTACTGACCATAAAGCAGGTTGATTAGATTACAGAGCTAAGACTAACATGGGCCATTTATTACACAGAAAGCCAGACCTCTGCAGCAGCAGCCATGCAAACCTACAAGGAGGAGAATCAAGTGTGTGTTTATGAATGACAGTAAAATAGATTACTATATTTTTACTAGACTGAGCTCCAGATGCTCCATTAGGAAGAGGAAACCCAACGTTAAATTTAATCAGAAAAAGCGATGAGAACCGGTTAAAATAAAGGCTGCTGATTGGTGTGTAACATTGTGTGTGTATAAAAGAGAAACTACATGACATAATATGTTATATTTGTTTGTGTATTATATTAAATAATAGTCAGCATAAATGGACTGGATTAAAGGTACCAGGCTTCACAGGGGACACAAAGGGAGCAAAGTGCCACACCCAGTCGCCACAGAGCATGCTCAGAATTACGTCAACTTTATATGAGATTGGTAGCCTGTCTGCAAACCTCAATTAAAATGACTATGGACACACACACACACACACACACAGTCTGCAGAAATATTTGAAGGTGCTGCCTCACAGTATATTGCCAACATTACTGTTACACTTTTACCCAACAGATTAATGTCCCCCTCAGTGGTTGATGTAGTGATATAAAACTGTAGAACTTTACAGTAAATCTTCAGGCCATTGCACCTTGTTGTTTGTCAGCCTTGCAAATAGGATTTACACATCTCTACAAAACGACAGTAACTACACATTATTAATGGTCTTTTTCAACTGAAAAATTATAATTACATTTTATAAAGTTAAACGTGATATAAAGTTTCATATTGTGAATACTGACTAGCTAATAGAGCATAACAAACAAGCGTTGACTGTGTTGGGTATGTTGCAACAGCTACTTAAATAGTTGCTTTTAAAGTTACAATAACCTCAGAACAATAAAGCATTTTAATAACCTAGTTTGTGCTTGCTAAGTCCCTGGACCTGCTGCTACAACAGCCACTATTCTTTGACCTCTATGTGACTCTGCCAAAAAGCCACTGTTCACCAGAAATACCAACAAAGTGGTTTGACAACTCTTACTCTAAACGGGATCACTGATCTAGTGCATTTTAAAAAGATGGAATAACTGCAGAGTCATGGCTCTGCCCCAGACGCCCAGAATATCAATAAAGTATTCCATTACTGTAAAAGGAGAGAGAGACAGAGAGACAGAGAGGAGAGGGGAAAGGAGACAGATGTAGGGGGGGAAAAAAGAATCAAATCAATGTATCCATGTGATTCAATTTAGGCCACAATTTCACAGTTTCTTATTGAGAATCAGGTAACTGAATCCTTGACACTCACATTTGATAGTAAAGTTAAGGGCATTACACTAGCAGGAATGAAATCATATAAAGTATACTGCAATCATATGGGGAAACAATCAAAAGTAGCTGACTAAGAACCAGTGGAAAGTGTCAGCGAGGGCATGATGGTGGCCGTGAGGAGACATCTTTAGTAATCAAAGCAGTAATGTGGAAGCCATTCTGGCCTCATGCCAAGTGCTCTGGTTAAAAGGGTGGAACTGTCGAGACAGACAGAGAGCAAGACAGAGCACACAAGCACCAGAGCGTGAAAGCAAAGAGAGAGAGAGAGAGGCAGGGTCTATCGCTAAAAGGTAGGGAGTGGCCAAAGCTTGTATGCTGATGAGTGATTGAGAAAGGAAGGGTTCATGTGGGTGGGGTGATGAGAAATGAGGGAGGGGGCGGCGAGAGGATGATGGGATAGCCAGCTTGTGTGCATAAAAACCCCCGGCACTCTTCAGTCTGATGTCCTGTTGCCTCACGAGCATCTCCAAACCTCCAGCTCTCCTTCTTTCCACAGCGATAAAGAACAGAACAAGACCAACAATGAGCCACTCTTCAATGCATAGCTCCACTTCCTACAGGCGCACCTTTGGAAGCCCACACCCCATCCCCATGTCCTCTTACTCCCCTGTGTCCTCCCGAATGCCTATTTCTGGAGGACGCTATATGCGTTCGGTGTCACCTATGGTTACATCCCGCTCCACCACCTACCAACAACAGCGCTCCCGCCCCACCACCCAAACCCCTCACATCTCCTACGAGAAGGTGGACTTCGGCCAGGCTGAAGCCATCAACCAGGAGTTCCTGACCACCCGCAGTAATGAGAAGGCTGAGCTGCAGGAGCTCAACGACCGCTTTGCCAGCTTCATCGAGAAGGTACGCTACCTGGAGCAGCAGAATGGTGCACTGCAGCAGGAGCTCAACCAGTTCAAGGGCCAGCAGCAGCATGGTCAGCCCAACCGTGCCACTGACATGTTCCAGGAGGAGCTGAGGGAGATGCGGCGCCAAATGGACGCCATCGGAAAGGAGAGAGACCAGTACCAACTGGAGAGGGACAACCTGGCTGAAGACCTGGGCCTGATCAAGCAGAGGTTGGTACCAACATGATGAGAAAGAAAAGT